GATCTTGCTTGCCCGGTGCCCGCTGACCGAAGATTTTAGTTCCAGGCTCTTGGGAATGATGCCACTTTGTCGACATCTGAGGTTGAATCGCAAATGGTTCCTGTAGTCTGCCCTCTTCCTTGCTGTTTTCTCAAACTCTCTAACTAGTTTGAGGCAATCCTGGCCAAAGTGGTTCAAAATATCCTGATGCATGCTCAATAATCCAGGTAGAAAAATCTAAAAAAGTTAAATCTGGTCCTCTGGACATTCAAAAAAAACCAAAACAAAGCAAAACAACAAAAAATGTAGAAACGTTTCGTCTCTTGTCTGAGAGACTTTTTCAGTCTGAGGTGCTGTTTTCAGCTCAGTCTCTTAAATAGCACCTTGTCAGAGTGGATCAACCAGTTTTGCTGCTGACAACCAAAACCAGCTGATCACATGCTCAAGAAGGACCATCAGCCTAACAATGGATCATTAGCACACTGATGGCTGTTTACTATTCACAGGGGTTTGAGTGATACTAGCAATCACAGCATTGTAAGAGGGGGACAATTGAACACGTAGGCCTCCACCCCTGTTTAATGATGGACGGTTTCTTTTCACAAAGATGGCCTCCTTTACTCCTCTCTCAAACCATCGTTCCTCTCTATCCAGGATGTGCACATCTTCATCCCTGAAAGAGTGACCGCTGGCCTGGGGATGAGTGTAGACCGCTCCCCCTCTTACACTGCTGTGCAATCAGTGAAACTGAGACGTTTATTTTCTAAACATAACGTCCCAGTGGCTTTTAAACCCCAAAATATATAATGGCAAAGACTGGTTCATCCCAAAGATCCAGTCCCCAGGCACAAACAGAGTAATGTTGTGTATGCTGTTCAGTGTCAGGAGGGCTGTGATCAGTCTTACATCGGGGAAACAAAACAGCCACTGGCCAAAAGAATGGCCCAGCACAGAAGGTCAACATCATCAGGCCAGGACTCTGCGGTCTACACTCATCTCCAAGCCACCGGTCACTCTTTCAGGGATGAAGATGTGCACATCCTGGATAGAGAGGAACGATGGTTTGAGAGAGGAGTAAAGGAGGCCATCTTTGTGAAAAGAAACCGTCCATCATTAAACA